GAGTTAGCTTATCTGCTTCTTGTCCTAGCAGAGCAGTTGCTGCCAGGGCCCTTAAGTATGGGGACCATCCCTTGGAAACTTCATCCAGCTGCTTGGAGAGGTAAGCTACAGGCCTGGGCCAAGGTCCTGCTGATGGTAGGAGAGTTCTTGAACCCTTGGGGGACCCAGGTCCAGGTGTACTGGGTGGTCCCACCTGTTTCTGGATTCTCCCATTGAAAGGCAAAAAGCTTCTGACTTCCAAAAGCCAGCCTCATGCTAAAGAAAGCATCCTTTAAGTCCAGGCAGGTGAACCAATCATCCTCTGCTGGCAATAATCCCAGAAATGTATATGGATTAGGCACAGTTGGGCGCAAAGTCACTGTGGCCTGATTGACCATGCATGAGTCTTGTACTGGCCTGTAGTCTTTGGTCCCTGGTTTACGAACAGGCAAGACGGGGGTGTTCATGGAGACTGGCAAGGAACTATAATTCCATAGTTCTCTAAGAATTTTAGATGGACCTGAATGCCTTCTAGCACCTCTCAGGGAACTGGATATTGCTTTTGTCTAACTGGTTGAGCCCCAGGCTTGACTTCAATGAGCACAGGGTCCTGGTTAATTGCCAGTCCAGGTGGATTGTCCTCTGCCCAGACCTTAGGCCACTGTTTTGCTAACTCAGGCTCTATTTCCTGGTCTGGTTTGGTTAAGAAGAGTCTCCACTCTTCCTCATGAGGCACCCTGAGGGCCATTATGACCCCAGTTTTAGACAGTGCCAACTGTAAGTTGCCATTCTTTGTGAAGGTTAGGGTTGCCCACAGTTTACTGACAGATCCCTTCCTAGCAGGGGCAAAGGGCAATCAGGCATGCATAAGAACTGGCGAATCACCTCATGCCCCCACCAGCTCACAAGTCTGAGGCAAACAAAGATTGTTTTTCTGACACCCCAGTAACTCCAACAATATCAGTTGTCTTCTTTGATAGGGGGGCCACAGGGGCAGTTACCACCGAGTATTCAGCACCTGTGTCAATGAGGAAGTCAATGGCCTTCCTGTCATCCTGAACATGGGCTCCTTGGGGGCAATGGAACCTGGTCCCCTTCAGTCCAGTGGTCCTTCCATTAGACTGAACAGAGCCCCTTCACTTTTGTCTAAAGTCTCATGCTCAGGGTCTCCCTGTTTTCCCGTTAACCATGGACATTTTTCCTTCCAATGTCCTATTTCCCAACAAAAAGCACACTGGTCACATTGCAGGCGTGGGCGCACAGACTGGGAGGCCTTCCAGGAACCCCTCTTTGCCCACCCTCTTGGGGGCACTCCTTTAATAGTGACAGCTATCAAGTCAGCATTCTGCTGAGCCTGGCGCTCCCTTTCTTAACGACTTTCCCTCTGGCTCACCGTTTCCTGGTTTACAAACACCTGGTTAGCTATTTCCAATAACTGTGAGGTATTCCTGCATGCAAATCCTGCTTGTTTCTGCAATTTTTGTCTAATGCATCCTGCACACTGACTAATGCCATATTTATCATACGCTGATTTTCCAGTCTCTCAGGATCAAAAGGAGTGTACATGCAGTAAGCTTCACACAGTCTTTCATAGAATTGGGTAGGGCTTTCACCTTTTCCTTGAAGAACCTCAGAGACTTTATTAATGTTTGAAACTTTCTGGGCCCCTTTTTTAAGTCCTTCCAGCAAGGCTTCTCTGTACAGGATTAGCCTTTGTATGCCCTCTGGGGTCTTTGGATCTCACTGGGGGTCAGATCCTGGTAACTGGGCCCTGACATACTCTTGGGAGTTCTGGTAATCTGCGGGAAAATGCTCCTCCAGCCAATTAGAAGCAGCTTGGAGTATTCTCTGCCTTTTCTTCCGTGTTAAAAAGATGCATAAACAGCTGATGGCAATCAACCCAAATGGGGTTATGAGTCTTAATAATAGTTTGCAGTAGATCAATGAGAGTTTGGGGTTTCTTGGTATAAGACAGGTTGTTATTTTTCCAATTGATCAGATCAGCTGAGGTGAATGGCAGGTAAGTGAAAACATGCTTTTCTACCATGTGGCCATCCTCATCCACTCCCGTGTACCTCTGCTTTCTCAAAGGCATCTGCACCCTGGCCTTGGGTCACAGACAAGCTGCCAGAGGGTGAGTTTCCTCTGGGAAGTGGGCGGCAATGGGCGGAGTTTTTCCACATTCTCTTTTGTCTACTCTGTGGGATTTAGGGGTGTGCAGCTCTGGTGGGGATGCCAAGGCCTCTGGCCCAGGGGCAGGGAGTCCTTGAGGAGGAGGAGGAGACATTATTGGCAAAAACTCTTCTGCTGCTGGGTCGACCAAAACCTTGGGAGTCTGCTTTTCTTGGTGGCGAGGGGGATGGTGGTTTCTAGCAGTCTGTCCCTTGGCTACTCAAACAGTCACTGCCTGCTCTTTTAGGTACTTCGGAGGGTTTAACACTAACTGCAACCACGAGTCTATGTATGGAAATTGATCTAGGTGCTCTAGCTCACTGTATATAACCTCATGCCTTACTTTGGAGACAAGGGACCTGTCTAGGGTCCCCTCTGGGGGCCAACCTACCCTAAATGCTGGCCAATCTTCCCTACATAAAACCCTTAATTTCTTTGGTGTCATAGTTACTTTATAATTCCCACTAAATCCCTTCTTGAAATTTTTCAGCATGGTTTCTAAAGGGGTGGGCTTGCTATGGGAGTGACCCATATTAACACTTCAAAGAAACAATTCCTACAGCTAGGAGAGTGCTATTTCACTCACAGCAGTTCCCGCCCAGTAAAAATGCAGCACGAAGCACTCTCCGATTTACATTCACTTCAGTCCTTTCATAACGCCCAGATGGCAGAGGCTTCTCCACTCAGCCTTATGTGGCTGTCTCTAATTCTTACAAATTACTCAACACACAAGGTCCCTCCTAATGGGTCTGATACCTTTTACGGCTGATGAGTCCAGTTGGACACATCTACACACACAGACACACATCCAATCACTCTCCTTCCAATTCAAAACCATAAGCAAAAAGCTTACAAGGTTAGTTACAGAGAGAGCTACCTTCAAAAGTGCCAATCTGGCACCCGTGGATGATCAGCACATGCTTCCACCCAAATGGGGTGGGCTACTTTCCCGGGTTTCATCTTACCAAATTCAGTGTCCAGAATTCTGAAATACCGGTTCCTCCTCGGTGTTCAGCCATTGGGTGGATCCACACTGCAGGGCCTCCCTGCTCTGCTCTGGCGAGGCTCTTCCACCAGGTAAATACCTGCCCGGGAGCGCTCTCAGGATGCATCACCCCAGTGAGCAGGAGTCCCCTTGCACGGATGCTCCACAGGGCTAGGCAAACCACCTAAGAGACTTTTTCCCCCCACCGTCTGCTATCCAAGACTCGCTTCCCGGCCAATGCACCAAAAATGTAGCAGAAGCAGCCATGGGAAACGGATCTCTCGAACACCGATTGCAGGAGGAAGAAGGGTTTATTATTATGGCTGGGAGCCTGGGCGATAATTTGTCCAAAACCCAGCTCCTCTAACAAAGGGAGGTTCAGCCTTTATATAGGCTTATACTTTAGATATTACAGGTGAAAGAATCTTAGGTTCATAGTTTTAGGACTCACTTGTGAAAAGGTTTCTGTTTACAGTTTCAGGAATCACATGTGAAAGGGTTCCAGTTTACAGTTTCAGGACTCACATGTGAAGAGGTTTCTGGTTTGATCTTGTTTTAAGTATAAATAGTGCCTTCTGCAGAGTTTCCCCAAGGCCTAGCCTGTCACCTATAGGAAGGTAAAACCAGAGGCGCCAGTCAGTCAACCTTTTCTTCTATTGAAATGCAGTATGATAGTCAAAGGGGAAGTTGATCTGAGAAGTCTGGGTCTCCCTCTTCACCAAAGGATAATGTATAGAAAGGCTATAAAAGGTTTTAATGTATAGAAAGGATATAAAGGCTTTAATGATGCTATAATCCAACTAGACGTAATAGAACACTCCACCCAAGAACAGCAGAATAAACTTTCTCAAGTGCATGTGGTATATTTTCTGGAATATACTGTAGGCAAGGCCATAAAACAAGCTTTGATAGATTTAAAAGGATCAAAATTATACAAAGCAAATTATACAAAGCATATTCTTCCACCACAGTGCAATAAAATTAGAAACTAAGAGGAACTTGGGAAATTTACAAATATGTGGAAGTTAAAAAACACACTCCTAAATAACAGATCAAAGAAATAACAGATCAAAGAAAAGCCATAAGGTAAATCAGAAAATACAGTGGTCCACCCTTATCTGTGATTTTGCTTTCCTCAGTTTATTACTCATAGTCAATTGTGGTCTGAAAATATTAAATGGAAGATTCCAAAATAAATCCTAAGTTTTACATTACATACCCTTCTAAGTAGTGTGATGAAATCTCACACATCCCACTCTGTCCTTCCCGGAATGTAAATGGTTCCTTTGTCCAGCATATCCATGTTGTATATGCTACCCACCTATAGTCAGTAGCTGTTACAAATATGGTTTGTTACTATCTTATTTCAGGGGTTCACTTGGGGTTCCTGAATGTATCTCCTGTGGGTAAGAGAGTACTACTGTACATTGAGATAAAGAAAAATACATATACCAAGACTTATGAGATCAGCAAAAACAGGGCTGAGAGGGAACTTTATAGTTGCAAGTACATATATATAAAAGGAAGAAAGTTCTCAAATCAATAACCTAACGTTACCGCTTAGAAAGTTAGAAAAAAAAAGAGAACTAAACCCAAGCAAGCAGAAAGAAGGAAATAATAAAAAGAGAAGAAATAAAAGAATGAAATAGAGAACAGAAAGCAGTAAGGAATGTTATAAAAAGAGAATCAAATTATTAAAATTGGAAATGTAATAACATCACCACTTACCTCATACAAACTAAAAGGATTATTAGAGAATACTGAGTAACCTGGAAGTGGTCGGCATGCAGCGTGGCTGGGCGCTAAAATGGCAGCAGCGTGAGTTGTGTGAGGATCCCGGGGCTGCAGTGTTTGCTTGGGCCCCGCCATGGCTGTCACCATCACGCTCAAAACACTGCAGCAGCAGACCTTCAAGATCCTCATGGAGACCGACGAGACAGTGAGGGTACTAAAGGAGAAGATAGAAGCTGAGAAAGGTCGTGATGCTTTCCCCATGGCTGGACAGAAACTTATTTATGCCAGCAAGATCTTGAGCGATGATGTCCGCATCAGGGGCTATCATATTGATGAGAAGAATTTTGTAATCATCATGGTGACCAAGACCAAAGCTGGCCAGGGTACCTCAGCACCCCCAGAGGCCTCACCTACAGCTGCCCCAGAGTCCTCTACATCCTTCCCGCCTGCCCCTACCTCAGGCATGTCCCACCCCCCACCTGCCGCCAGACAGGACAAGAGCCCGTGGGATGAATCCACCCCCACGACGTCCCCAGAGTCCGTGTCAGGCTCTGTTCCCTCTTCAGGTAGCAGCGGGCGAGAGGAAGATGCAGCCTCCACGCTAGTGACGGGCTCTGAGTATGAGACGGTGATCACAGAGATCATGTCCATGGGCTATGAGCGGGAGCGGGTCGTGGCTGCCCTGAGAGCCAGCTAAAACAACCCCCACTGAGCAGTGGAGTATATGCTCACGGGAATTCCTGGGAGCCCCGAGCCGGAACACGATTCTGTCCAGGAGAGCCAGGTATCTGAGCAGCTGGCCACGGAAGCAGCAGGAGAGAAACCCCTGGAGTTCCTGCGGGACCAGCCCCAGTTCTAGAACATGCGGCAGGTGATTCAGCAGAACCCTGCACTGCTGCCCGCTCTGCACCAACAGCTGGGCCAGGAGAATCCTCAGCTTTTGCAGCAAATTAGCTGGCACCAGGAGCAGTTCATCCAGATGCTGAACGAACCCCCTGGAGAGCTGGCAGACATCTCAGATGTGGAGGCAGAGGTGGGTGCCATAGGAGAGGAGGCCCGCCTATGAACTACATCCAGATGATGCTGCAGGAGAAAGAAGCTATAGAGAGGTTGAAGGCCCTGGGGTTTCCAGAGAGCCTGGTTATCCAGGCCTATTTCGCGTGTGAAAAAAACGAAAACTTGGCTGCCAACTTCCTCTTGAGTCAGAACTTTGATAATGAGTGATGCCAGGAGACCAGGCGACCCAAACCCCCACCCTAACTCTACTCCATAAAAGTTTTATAAAATAAATATATACTCATGTTCTTAAGAAGTGTGGAAAAAAATAAAAACCCGTAAAAAAAAAAAAAAGTGAGCAAAAAGCCCAGCTTCCTGTCCTCCTAAAGTGGCCCTTGTTCCCATCTCACTCTGAGAAGACCCAGGCAAGACAGCTGTCCCCCCATCCTCCTCCCCAGCCCAGCCTGCTCAGAGAAGCTGGCAGGACTGGGAGGTGACAGATGGGCCCCTCTTGGCCTCTGTCCCAGCTCCCTGCAACCAGATGGAAAGGCGGATGCTTGCTTCTCCATCTTCCGAAGAATCCCTGAGGACCCCCCCACCCCATCCTCTTCTAGGATGACAGGAAGCTGGAGCCCCAAAATTTGATTCTCCATTGGAGCAGCCCAAATCTTTCCATCTGGGGTGAGCCCTGAAAGGTTCAAGGCCTCCTCCCCAGTCTGGCCTTGGCCTCCAGCCTAGAGAAGGGCTAACATCAGCTCAGTGTTAAGGCTACCCTTACTCCAGAACAGAACCGTGTCTCTAATAAAGGTTTTGAAGTGAATAAAGTTTAAAAAACCAAAAAAAAAAAAAAAGAGAGAATACTGAGGAAATGGAATATTAGTCTGGTAGGGCTGACATAATAAAATACTACAGACTGGGTGGCTTAAACAACAGGCATTTATTCTGTCATATCCTGGAGCTTGAAGTCCAAGATCAAAGTGATGACAGGGTTGGTTTCTCCTGAGGACTCTCCACTTGACTTGCAAATGGCCACTTTCTTACTGTATTCTTACATGGTGTTTTCTCTGTGTGCAGGTGCACACACACACAGATCTGGTCTCTTCTTATAAAGAAACTAGTCATTGGAGTAGGGCCACACTCTTATGACCTCATTTAACCTTAATTACCTCATAAAAGGCCTTATCTTCAAACACAGTCACATTGGGGGTTAGGACTTCAACATGTGAATTTAGAGGAGAACACAATTCAGTCTATAACAGCATGCCAACAAAGTAGATAACCTACAAAAACATGGATAAATTCCTAGAAAGACACAAACTATTAAAACTGACTAAAAATAAAATAGAAAATCTGAATAAACTTATAACAAGTAAAGGATTGAATTAATCATTTTAAAACTCCCACAAAAACCCTAGTCCTAGATGACTTTATTGGCAAGTCCTACGAATTTTTTTCTTTTTCAAACACAACAATTCTTCAAACACTATTGCAGAAAATATAAGCGAAAGGAATATTTTTCAACTAATTACATGACCCCAGTATTATGCTGATACCAAATCTGACAGACATCACAAGAAACTACAGACCAGTATTCTTTGAGTATAGACACAAAAGTCATCAAAAACACTAGCAAACCAAATCTAGTAACATGATCAAGTGAGATTATCCTAGAAAAATAAGTTGGTATAAAATATGAAAATCAATCAATGTAATATACCAAACTAATACAATAAAATCAAAATCACATAATCATATCATTAGAATCAAAAAAAGCATTTGATAAAATTAACACTGTTCATAATAAAAACTTGCAGAAGGAACTTCCTCAAAAGATAAAGAGCACCAATCAAAAATTCATAGCTAGTAACATACTTAATAGTGAAATACTGAATACTTTCCTTTTAAGATCAGGGGATCTCCTTAAGACAGGACTTCTGGTCTCACTACTTCTTCTCCTTTTTTTTTTTGAAAGAAAGAAAGAAAAAGAGAAAGGGGGGAGAGAGAACAGGAGTCTTGCTCTATTGCCCAGGCTGAATGCAATCTAAAAATAGGTATTAAAAACCTCTTTTATGCCGATAATTGTACTTAATAGCAGAGACAGGAAAAAATAAAGGAAGAAAAAAACAACCAACCAATCAATATTTCATTTAAGTCTGCAAAATGCTATGCAAATGGTAAAGGGTGATTTACTTCCAATTATGTGGTCACTTTCAAAATAGGTGTAATGTGATACTGAGAAAAATGTATGTTCTGTGGACCTGGGGTGAAGAATTCTATAAATATTCACTGGCTTTATTTGTTCCAGGTCTGAGTTCTAATCATAGATGTCCCTGTTAATTTTCTATCTTGTTGACCTGTTGAATATTAACAATGTGGTCTCAAAGTTTCCCACTATTATTGTGCGGGAGTCCAAGCCTATAAGTCATTAAGGACTTGTCTTATATATCTGGGTGCTCCTGTATTGGGTGCATATATATTTATGATCATTGACTCCTGTTGTTGCATTGATCCTTTTACCATTATGTAATGCCCTTCTTTGTTTCTTTTAGTCTTTCTTACTATTAAAGTCTATTTTGTCAGAGATGAAAGTTACAACTCCTGTTTTTTTTCTTTTTTTCCTCTCCATTTGATTGGTAAGTCTTCCACCAACCCTTTGTTTTGAGTCTTTTTGTGTCCTTACTTATGAGATGGATCTGGATACAGTGTACTGATGGGTTTGACTTTTTATTCAATTTGCCTGTCTGTGTCTTTGATTGGGGCATTTAATCCATTTAAATTTAAGATTAACATTGATATTTGTGAGTTTAATATTGTCATTTAATGCTGGCTGGCTTTTTTGCCCATTAGTTGATATAGATTCTTCATTATGGAAATACTCTTTACCTTTTGGTAAGTTTTGGGGATGACTGATACTGGTTGTTCCTTTCTGTGTATAGTGCTTCTTTCAGAAGCTCTTGTAAAGCAGGCCTGTTGGTGAGGAAATCTCTGAGTGCTTGCTTGTTTGTGAAAAATTTTATTTTCCTTCATTTATGAAGCTTAGTTTGGCTGGATATGAGATTCTGGGTTGAAAATTCTTTTCTTTGAGGATATGGAATATTGACTCCCACTGTCTTCTAGTTTGCAGGGTTTCTGCTGAGAGATCTGCTGTGAGTCTGATAGGCTTCCCTTTATGGGTAACCTGACCTTTCTCTCTAGCTGCCCTTAAAATTTTCTCCTTTATTTCAACCCTGGTGAATCTAATGATTATATGTCTTGGGGTTGCTCTACTTGAGGAATATCTTTGTAGTGTTCTCTGTATTACCTGGAGTTGAGTATTGTCCTGCCTTACTAGGTTAGGAAAGTTTTCCTGAATAATATCCTGAAGAATATTTTCCAACTTGGATTCATTCTCTTCATGACATTCAGGTACACTTATCAAACGTAAATTAGGTCTTTTCACATAGTCCCATATTTCTTGGAGACTTTGCTCATTCCTTTTTACTCTTTCTTCTCTAATCTTATCTTCTCATTTCATTTCATTAAGTTGGTCTTCGACCTCTGATATCCTGTCTTCTGCTTGATCAATTAGACTGTTAAAACCTGTGCATACTTCATGGAATTCTCGTATTGTATTCTTCAGTTCCATTAATTCACTTATATTTCTCTCTAAATTGTCTGTTTTTGTTAGGATTTCGTCAAACCTTTTTTTCAACGTTCTTAGTTTCTTTACATTAAGCTAGAATATATTCTTTTAACTCACCGAAGTTTCTTATTATCTACCTTCTGAAGCCTAAATCTGTTAATGGAACACACACATTGTCCATCAGGCCTTGTTCCCTTGTTGATGAGGAACTGTGATCCCCTGTAGAGGGAGAGGCATTCTGATTTTTGGGTATTCTCAGCCTTTTTAGCTGGTTTCTTCCCATCTTTGTAAATTTATCCACCTGTCATCTTTGTAATTACTGACTTTCAAATTAGGACTCTGAATGGATGTCCAACTTGTTGATTCCCAGCGCCAGAATCTGAGCAACCCACTGTGCTGGCTAAAAGAGTGGCATTAAGATTCATGGTGCTTTTCTGCCCGGGAATCTCTGGTCTGGCTTCCTTCTTGAGTCCCTTTTTCAATCAGCTGAATAGGTGACTCTGCCTTCCTGGAGCTCCAAATGTCAACCAAAAGGGGACCCAGTCCTGTTTACTCTGCACCAAGAACCGCTGGGCCGGTCACTAGAGTCACGCTGGTGACCTGTGGGGCTCCTCTGCTGGGAATATCCTGGTCTGTGAGCAACAAAAATTTGTCTGAAAGTGTGGTGTCCTCTCGTTATCTGCCCTTTCACTGGGAGCTACAACCCTGAGCTGCTTGTTATCGGCCATCTTGGATCTCTCTCCCTCACTACTTCTATTCAATAATGCCTGAGGTCCTAACATTAGCAATGAAAAAAAAAAAAAGAATAAGCAGAATGTAAAGGAAGTAAAAGTATTTGCAGGTGACATGATCTTATATAGTGAAAAATTTAAGGAATGCATCAAAAAAAGTACTAGAACAAGTTAACAAGTATGGCAAGCTTGCATGATATATGAGCAAAACAGAAAAATCTGTTATTTTTACCTTAGCAGTGAAGAATCCAAAAATGAAATCAAGAAAGACATTCCACTTACAATAACATCAAAAAGGGTACAATACTTAGAAATAAGTTTAGCAAAATAAGTGCAAGACCTGTAGACTGAGAACTACAAAACATTGTTGAATGAAATTAAAGAGTACCTAAATAAATGGAAAGTTATTACATGTTCATGGAAGACATGATATTGTTAAGATGGTAATATGCCCCATATTGACCTACAGATTCAACACAATATCTAGCCAAATTCTAGCTGGCTGTTTTTGCAAAATCTGCAGAAATTGACATGGAAATGCAAGAAACTCAGAATAGCCAAAACAATCCTGAAAAGAAAAACAAAATTGGAAGACTCACACTCCCCAAGTTCAATCCTTAGTAAAAGCCACTGTAAGGATCACAACATAGTAGTGAAATAAAGATGGACATATAGATCAATGGGACAAAACTGAGAATCCAGAAAATAGCCCATACAGCTATGAGTAATTGATTTTTGACAGTGGCACTGACAATTCAATGGAGAAAATGAATAGTCCTTTTAACAAATGTTGTTTTGATAACTGGATAATCAGATGCAAAAAAATTGTTGGACCACTACATCACACCACATATAAAAATTCACTCAAAATAGATCAAAGACCTAAAGGTAAGAGCTAAAACTATAAAACTCTTTGAAGAAAACCCAGGCATAAATATTTGTTGTCTTCGATTAG